TAAAATACGATGGAAATAATATTTTTTTCTGTAGAAAAACATTCAACAACTGTTTCACAATTAAAATGTAAAGTTACACAAAGCTGTACAAAGCCATCTCTTTAAAAAACAGACCAAAAAAAACACCAACATTAAACCTCCAGAAACAATAAAAAGTTTGATCAGATGCTTGGATGTGATGGAAAGGTCATTGGATCACAACAATCATTACATTTCTTCCATTGTGGACACAAATAAACACAATCAACTAAAACTCTAAACACTCTTTAGTTTGAAGACTTGTTTGTCATAAACAGGCTGGAAAGAATAAAATTAATAGAAACAAACATGTAAACTGACCTCCAGACCAGACAAACTGAGGTTCACTGTCATCAGTGTAATGCACTGGGTCTCCTCTTCCAGCTCTACATGCATATCCTGCTGTCTGTGTCTGTCCATCAACAATGTAGGAATCTTCTTCAGTCCCGTTGCTGCTACCAGGCAGCAGCTCATAACTGTAGGAGTTGTCTGATAGATCAGGAACAGCCTTATACCAGTAGAACCTCCATCCTGCAGACGGATGTTCAACCTGACAGCTCAGAGTTACTGAGGCTCCAGGACTCAGCCATGATGGAGACACAGTGAGGACAGCTTTGGCTTCTGTTGGGAAGACATTTTCCAAGAATGAACACGTTACTATGTGTTGTTGGTGAATTACATACAACATTTGTACCCTTTATATTCAGCACATTTTCTTTCTATATATGTCTCTTATCCCCAAATACTGTATGTGGAAAAAAGTGAAGCTGTGAAACAAACTTCACATTATTGTCCACAGTTTCAGATTTTTTTAAAAAAAGGTTAGATTGGTGAAAAACAGGAAGGTGACAAATTAAAAGAAAAAATAAATGAATGGAGAATACAACAAATGCAAGTACTTTGACACACTGCAAGTTGATTTAAAATCAAAATGAGACACAGTGAGGACAGCTTTGGCTTCTGTTGGGAAGACATTTTTCAAGAATGAACACGTTCCTATGTGTTGTTGGTGAATTACATACAACATTTGTACCCTTTATATTCAGTACATTTTTTATCTACACATGTCTCTTATCCCTAAATAGAGTATATGAAAGAAAAAAAAGTGAAGCTGTGAAACAAACTTCACATTATTGTCCACAGTTTCAGGTAAATAACGGTTAGACTGGTGAAAAACAGGAAGGTGACAAATTAAAAGAAATCTGTGAATAAGTGAATGGAATACAGAAAAATTGAAGAACTTCCAAACAATCCTAGTTGGTTCTGATTCTGTAGCAAAAGAAGCAAAACTCCTTTTGAATCATTTTGTTTTGGAGTTTCCATTCATACTATCAGTCAGCAGCTCCTCCATAGATCTCACATGTGACAGTGATCTTCTCTCCTCTCTATCTGAGGACTGATTTGGGTGCAGAGTCAAGAGTTCTCAAGAATTGCAAGTACAGGTACAAAAAAATCAACATCCAACACAACAGCTTTCTGCATTTATCAGTACACACACTATTTATTTTCTACAGTTTATATTCCTGGAACACTCACCAACTCAAACTGACCTTTTTTATTGATTGTGACTGGATCGCTGAACTCTGTGTGGTAAACAGGGTTTCCTCTTCCTCCTCTGCACCAGTACACTCCTTCCTGTGACACTCTGATTTGTCCATTTGATTGGAAAACAGCATCTTTAGTGGTCAGAGCTTCAGAGGATGTCTCATCTCTGTACCAGTAATATTTCCATCCAGATGATGGGTTCACTGAGCAGATCAGGGTCACGCTGCCTCCTACTGGAATCTCTCTGACGTCAGCATTTATCAGGGCCTTTGGTTTACCTGTCAGTGAGTTCACAATAAAAATAGATGAAAAAAATACACAAGTGCTCCTGTGTAGGTCATATATATAATAGTGTTAAAAGGTATAAGGCAGACATCACACATGACATTTATTTTGTTCAACTCCAGTCACAGTGAATGAGCATATTGGCTCCTTTCTGGCCAAATTGTCAATTACTGACCATCAGGTACAAAATGATGAAAGCGTATTCTAATCTGTTAAGTCATAGTCTGACTGAAGATGTAAAATCAGTGTAGATCCTTTATTTGTTCTGTGCAGCGCAGAAACAATTTCACACAATACAGAACGTTGACAAAGACAAACATGACTGACCTGATACTGACAATGTGACGGCTTTACTCCACTGAGTTGAAGAATAGGAGTCATCTCTGGGTCTGCTTCTACACATGTAGTCTCCACTGCTGGACTCAGAAACACTGAATGTCTGGTAATTATTGTATGTCCATTGCACATCCAACATGGGTCCTTTCCATTCATACATCCACTCAGTGGTTCCACCTCCATGGACCTCACATGTCAGAGTGATTGTTTCACCACTGAATAACTGAGGCCAGTGTGGTTGTTGTGTTAGAACAGCCTCATTGGAAACTGTTTTCAGATACAAACAGGAGGAAAAAATACATTATCAGATCAAGATTTTAGGATTCATCACAGATCTAATTTTAATCAGCAAAACATGCATTTTTCAATGAAAATGACTGAACTCACAGGTTATCACAATGGTGATGTCATAACTTGAAATAGTGTAGTAAACTGGTTTTCCTCTTCCTCCTGAACACCGGTAGATGCCTCCTTGTGATACCCTGATAACTCTGTTTTGTTCATCATCTACTCTAACTGGATCCACTGGAACTGCAGAGGTTACCTGAGTACGTCTGTACCAGTAATATTTCCATCCATCAGAGTTCTGCACAGAGCAGGTCAGTGTCACACTGCCTCCTACTGATATGGTTGTTGGACCTGCTGTCAGTGTGGCCCTGGGTCTAACTGCTATAAAAAGCAAACGAAAACAAGAACATGAATTACTCTCATGGCAATAATCAAAGAAATAAAACTTTGGGTATATTTTCTTTTTACAGTAGCTCTAAATTCTTTATAGTAGAAAAACAAAACTGTAATTGCCCTTAACACACTGTTTAATTCATTCATTCATTTTCTGTGCAGTTTAAAATGATCTCAATCAGTTGTGACTGATGTCAGTCTCAGCATGGTGACAGAGCTTCTGCTTTAAATCTCAACAAACACAAGTTAACAGTTTCTCCATTTCATCACAAAAAGTCACATTTACTGTCAACACTGCATGACTTCATTATACAAAGATGTGTTACTTCCACAGTGGTCTGTCCTGACTTGTCTACACATTGTAAATATCAGTTGCCACGTATGTGAAAGTCTTGATGTGAGGAGTTCAACTATGTTTCCTTTTCTCTCTATAAGTTTTTTCATATTCTATCAGCAACAGCTGTTATTCCCCAACAAAAGAACATACGTGTGTTAATTCCAGATGAAAGTCTCTGAGCTTTCTAGCACAGTGTGTTCTCTGACAAAAGCTGTGGTTTCACAGAATTCAAACATGTTTACATGATAAGAATTCAATACTGTATTACGTAGTCAGGATGAGTATATAAATATAAACCATACATTTGTGCTGTTAGTTATGTTGATAAAACACTGAGGACTCACCTGAAACACTTAAAGAGACAGTGTTACTGTTCTTTGTTTCATATGAGCTCTTCCTGCGACCAACACACTGATATTCACCACTGTCATCTGTAGACAGAGGTCCAAATGTGTAGCGTTTGTGTGTGTTGTACTGAACATGTGTTCGTCCATCCTTGTTGATCTTGTATTCCCACTCAGCATCTTCTCCTTCGTTCATGTCACATATGAAGGTAACAGACTCTCCGACAAAATAACTGGAGCAGTTGGGGTCAGTCGTCAGTACAGCATCTAGAATCCAACACAAACATGGACTGACATAATACTTTTGTTCCACTCTACAATATGTGTGGATACACTCGTTAAAATAATGAAGACAGTGAAAAACTCATCCAAAGTCAATGAATGAATAAATAAAAGGTAGAACTGAGCAGTTACCTTGAGCGTGTCCATAGTAGAGGAGTGTATTCACAACTAGAATAAAGAATGAAACTTCAGACATCATTTAAATGAAACTACTGACATTCACAGTGGAATATAAAACAAGTTTCATGTCTAAAATCTATCAAACTATCACTGCTGATGGACCAACAATACGTTTCAGTCATGATTTAACACAGTTCTCTGACTCCACATCAAAATAAGTCACTTTCCAAAATCCTGTCAACGTGTTGGAAGCAAAAAAGTTGTTGAAAAGCAGCTGGTACTCACAGTGAAACAACAGCACACACAGGAAAGAGTGTCCCATCTTCAGATCCAGCTCTGACACTTTGACACTTGCTGCTCTGTCTGTGGAATACGTCCACTTTGTACCGACGACAAACTTCAAGAGAAACAGTGAACCGTGAGAAACAGAAGTTGCAAATCAACAAAGCATCAGAAGTTGTTAGACAAATTCTATTTCTGTCTCAGTCAGTTACCACTTCCTCCTCTATATAGATCATTCACACCTCTATTGGTTTGACCACAGAACACGTAGACAAGCTGGTACCTCCGTCCCAGCTATTGCAAATAAAAATAGACATTTGCTCCTAAAACACAAAAGAAGCATCTAAAATCATTACTGAAGTGGAGACAACTTTGATCAACTGTGAGTAATTATTCCAAGTTCCAAAATCCCACTTTGACTACAAAGAGGATGGCTTCAACACGATGACAATGATCCTACACGCACCTCAAAAACCACAATGGAGTGGAAAATGTGGCCATGGTCCTCACAGCCCCCCTGCCTAAACATCACTGAAACTCTGAAGAGGGACTTTAAAGAGCAGCGTATGCAAGACGGCCCAATAATCATACAGAAATGGAAGCCCTGTGAAGGAGATGAAACTCCCCTCAACAAGAACGGAAATACTCTGAGCTGCTACACAAAGTGTTTTCTGCTAAAACAGGGACTTACCGAGTACTGACCCACTACAGGGTGACACAACCTCTTTCCTGTTTTTCTTTTTTCCAAACTTTAAACTATAAAAAGTAATCTTGAATAAAATATAAAGAAATGTGTCCTTTATCTTTGTTTTTCAGTCACAGATATTTCGACCAGGGTGCCCAGAGGTATGAAGGCCAGCTGAAGGACTCAGTAAGAACCTGAAGTCATTGCACCTGACAGTGACCACAGACTGTGTAGTGTGACAAACTGTGGCAGTTCTGCATTGAACAAAAGCAAATCCTGCAAGTAGGGACGGGATAAAGACATGCTGCTACTGGAAAAACATGTTTTGTTCCAGGAGAGATAAATAAATACAGACATGTACTCAGAATAGTGAGCTATTCAGCATTCCACCTAGAAAATACATCCATTATGGTCACATCACTGGATCACTCACTCGATATTCAGCAGCTAAATAATTAGAGAAAATAAAAAGATGACAGCAGGATGCAAAAGTAGACATCATATTCATATATTTGATCATTTTGCAACGAACACATGAGGCGTCTCACTTTGTACAAACATTTTGAAAGTTCACACGGATGATTATCTTCTTACTTTTGTTCATACAGTTTCTTAACATGATGCCACATGACCAACATTTATCCAA